CCCCAAAACCCCAAAACCCCAAAACCCCAAAACCCCGTATAATTTAAATAATATAGAAAATGGAATATAGCAGCCTGATAGATAAAGGTGGTGATTTCAAATACGGACAAAATGCGAAGGATAAGGCAGATGAAAGTAGTATTAAGATAAGGTCCTACTATCAGCCAGCTAATAAGGAAAGAAGGGGGTTAGAAAAGAGGTAAAGTAGGTTTAGATAGGCAGTAAAGTTGATTGAAATGAGTTATGAGTAAATAGGAAGGAATTTGGGATATGGAGATATATTTTTGCTTTCGTAATGATAAGTTTCAGGTCAATTATGAATAAATCGAAATTAAAGATATTTGACCTATAAATATAAGATATTATACAAGATTCACATATTTATAACAAAATTAAAGCTTACTGAAGCAAAATTTTGGATAATTTCCATTCAAAACAATTTTTTCGATATGAGATTCGGACAATTCTGAGGAATATTTTCATGAGACTCACCAACAAAGTAATTCCTCTCCATGGATCAATAATCTAAACGCATTTTCCTGAAAATTATACTATCTTCATACCCATAGAGGCCAAAATTTAGCGTACTTTGTTGTTAATAACAAGTAACTTTCTTATGAAAGACCAAATTGTTAAGTTTATTCAAAAATCAACAAGATATTTAACACAAAGTGAATATTACATGCTGACTGCTTTATAGGGAAGAGAGAAAATTGCTGAACAAAACCAGTGCCCAAGTAAAAGTCCAGTTCCCTTCAAAAATGTCCAGACAGAACAATTTCGCCATCAGTAGATTCGCCAATGAATCAGTTAAACGGTCTCGAGCTGAAGGAGAGCAGCTGGCTAATAAATTAAAGTAACAACAATTCTAAGGGAGGGCTCCGAGATAGGTCGAGGGACTTTGTAGCATCTAAGCGGAGGGACCCATCAGTAAAGTTCCCCAGAACTTCTAAGGAGTATCAATTTACGAAGAAAGAGAAGGTGATTAATTCTATTTTTGCTTAAAAACCTAAACTCAAAATTTAGACGGATGGAAATAAACGAAAGGGTTCAGGATCAAACAGTCCAATCCCTTTCAAGAATAAAAATTATCGACATAATAAAAGTAGAAAGTATCCAAAATTGACAGGAGTCGGCTATCCTTCAAGTCTCAGAAACAAGTCTCTCAAATAAGTTTCCCGATAAGCCTTCACCTACTCCCACTATGTCATTTGATAGCGACTCTTCCAAGATTAAGCCTCAGTCATCCATTAACAGGTACATTAGTGCTAATTCTTCAGGTTTTACAAGTCCAGAATCGCTGTGGCCAGCAAGAGCAAACTCTCTGAAGCCAACAAAAGTTCGAGAAGCATCGGTCACAGAACCGTGCAGAGTCATGAAGACAATATCAGAATCGATCATGTTGAAGCAGTGGCCAAGCGAGAGATCCCGGTGTTGCCTCGCAAAGCCACTCCATCCAATGTCAGAAGCAAGTCTACGAGCGAGCGTACATTCTATTTCACAAGCGCTCAAGAAGCTTCAGACGAACCTGGGCACTCGAGAGGCCTCAGCAACTACGAAGGCACCAGAAGAAGATCCAAGCAATCTGTCAAAGAGTACCAGGCGTCAAGGTACAGTGCAAGAAGCTGCGACCATGTCAAAGACTACATGCTCAAGAAAAAGGAAAAAGATACCTTATTCAGATACTTGCAGCAGGGTGGAAACATTGTTGAGTTCGAACGATACATCAAAAGCGAAACACCAGACCTCAACTGCAGAAACGAAGACTGGCTGACGCCATTGCATGTGTGAGCTCAGACAAACATGAGTACAGCCTGGATCTCGATACTTCTCAGGCACGGTGCTGACATCAACCGCAGAACTCCGAACAACAAAACAGCGCTGCACTTTGTATGCGAAAACGGCAACTCCAATGTTGCTGCATTGCTTCTCAAATGGAGAGCCGACTGTTCCATCAAAGACAACGACCAGAATACTCCATTGCTGATTGCTAAAGCCATGAACCACAAAGACTTAATCAAGCTGTTACAGACCAAGAGCAAAGACTTGGTTGTCAAAGCGAAGTACTCTAAATATCCCAGAGGCATGGACATTGCCAAGAAGCTGTCTACGTCAAGAAAGAGGCCTGTCAGAGCAGACAAGTCTAAATAAGAGATTCCACACGAACTTCCAATCGAACTCAAGCAAAAAGCTTCTGAAGAACAAACAGTATTCAGGGTTCTTGAACAAGGGTTCGAAGAAAGACAGCATTTCGAACTCGAAGCATCTCAATAAAGCGAAGCTGGCGCCTGAAGACAAACTCAGGCTCGATAACAGAGACATTCCGATTCACAGCAAACGGAACTCGTCTCCATTGTCGAACTTCACTACTGACTACAACACTCGGAGAGTCAAGAAGAGCCACTTGTACAGACCTAGCGCTACATACTCACTTGAGATTGACAGTCCGACTCCAGGTGTGCCTGTGAGTAAGCTTCCTTTGCAGCTTAGGTCACCGAATGCAAGTGGCGCTAAAGACTCTACAACCGAGAAGAGTGTCCGTGTCAAGTACCAAGACATGGAACCCAATACCACCAACAGATATCGCAGAAGTAACGTCTCGAACTACGAAGCTAGTGCTCGTCAGACCCCGCATGAAGCTCATAGTGAAACTCAGCAAAGGCAAGACTTCTTGAATTACATCAACATTTCGAAAGATGGTTCTGCACTCAGAGGCGCGACTCCTCACCAGAACGACTCCAAGAAGCAGTCTCTGTACCAAGGAGGCTTTAGCAAAGATGATAGACAGCCAGAAGCCACTGCTGAGTTCAACCACCCTCGTACAGTCGAGCGTCCAGAGAAAGCTGAAGTACTTCCAGAGCGAGGCAACAAAGCCGAGAGCATTGCAAGTTCACAAGAAGAGCACAAGAAGAGTACTTCAACAAGCAAAGGACTCAGCAGCGACACACCCTGCCCAGACCTTGACCAGGATATTGCACCTGAAATTGCTGAGTTCAGTCTAAAGAGCAGGACTCTTAACCAGAGCAAGCCATCTGTCAGGCACAGATATGCTGACCTTGAAGATGAAGATGATGATGATTCAGATGAAGAACAGAAAGTTTACTACAGAGGAAGAGGCATCAGCAAAGAAATGCAAGAAACCGAAATTCCCGAGCAATACAGGCTTGACAAAGGCAAAGACTTGACTCCCCAGATGTTCGAGATCCAGTCATTGCTCGGCAAAGGCGCATTTGGCAAAGTGTACCTGGTCACCAAGAAAGACACTGGTAAGCCCTACGCAATGAAAGTGTTGTCTAAGGACCAAATCATCCAAAACAGAATCACACGGTATGCCTTGTCAGAGAAGAACGTGATGAGCAGAGTACCCCATCCGTTCATCGTGGGACTGAACTATGCCTTTCAGACCCAAGAGTTCTTGTACCTGATTCTGGACTACTGTCCGGGAGGAAACATCGGAGACTTGCTGGACAGAGTGAACAACTTGGAAGAAGAGCAAGCAAAGATGTACACTTGAGAAATAGTGCTGGCACTTGAAGAACTTCACAAGAATGATATTATCTATCGTGACCTTAAACCAGATAATGTCGTTATTGATCATGAAGGTCATGTAAGACTCACAGATTTTGGCCTTGCTAAAGAAAATGTTCAGGACGATACTCTCGCAATGTCATTCTGAGGCTCTACAGCATACCTCGCTCCAGAAATGATCCAGAGGACGGGACATGGAAAGGCAGTTGATTGGTACTTGCTGGGCATTCTTGTATACGAAATGATAACAGGGATTCCTCCATTTTATTGAAACGACAAAAACAAAATGATGAAGAATATCCTCACGAAGCCACTTAAGCTTCCAAGGTTTGCTTCTTCTAAATGTAGGAGTATCCTAAAAATGCTCCTAACCAAAGATCCTGAGAAGAGACTGGGATCAGGAAAATATGATGCAAAGATCGTGAAGTCTCACCCTTGGTTTGAAGATGTAAACTGGGAAGACGTTTACAACAGGAGACTGCCAGTTCCTCAAGATATCAACTACGAGAAAAACGATGAGTCAGCTAACGTACTCAGTTCAAGGTTGATAAGATATCAAAACGACGATGATATGAAAGGTAAATATACATTTAATTGTCTAGTCCATACACAGGAAGATGAATATATTGAGGGTTGGTCATACCATCACGAATTAGCTCAGCAAGAGTTCATATAATCCTCCAAAAATTATATAAAAATCCCATCAAAAATTATCTCCAAATTGGGGTTTTGGGGTTTTGGGGTTTTGGGGTTTTGGGGTTTTGGGGTTTTGGGG